ATCGACGCGTCAATTATGCCGTGTGATTAATGGTTCATTTCGTAGTCATCATTCATCTCCCTAAAGGTGGTAAATGGTGCGTTCTTGAAAGGAACGTTACGTCCAAACACGAATAATTCCTTACTTTATTATGACATTAAATCTATCTTAACTTCCGTGAACTTTAGTATGCGCAATTTTTCTTAAAATTTCTGCTCTTGACATTTGAAATTATTAGAAATAAGAAGATTATTGTCATAAAATAGTCAAGATATAATTTTAATTATAACGGACAAAATTTAATGTGCATATAATATTACTTGAAATTTTTACTCTTGAAATTATTTTGCTTGAAACTGTTTGATAGGAAAAGTTGTGAATTATAATATTCTCTAGAATTTAGGATATAATCTCTTATCTCTAACTAAATTTGGAAAACTGTCTCGATGCATCTCTTACAAGATTAATCAAGCTTTAATTAATCCCTCAAGTTCAAAACATTTAAAAAAGGTTTTCCTTAAAAGTATTAAAATTGGGATTATAAAGTGGGAAAGAGGGTTGCAGATCTTTAATATTATATTAATATTATTTGATAGTAACATGTTATTTCTACATAACAATCTAATTGTACAAGTAGCTTTGAAGTGTTAATTTACGTTGTTGACGTAAATATCGCACTTTCATAGATTTTTGATACACAAAGGATGAAATAGGGGACAAGCTAAAGAGGAAGAGCGGCAAAGGGTATTGTGAGCGCTCTTCTTTGATGTAACTCACTTATCAGGATGAAACGGTCGCGCTCCCTCTCTTCCTTCCCGATCTCGTTCTTGCGAGATGAGATACCCTCTCTCTGTCATATCTTTGCATTCTATTCACCTTCCCGCAGCCTTCCTGACAAGGAAGGAGCAGCATTCCCTATTACCGATAAGATACCGATCGCGATGTATGTATGTACACCCACCGGCACTAATCCGCACGGTGATCTGATAATTGAGCGAACGCTGGACGCCGGAAATACGTAACAGCCGTTACTGTCACAGTATAACGTCGATGCGGGATTACGAGTTGTTGGTCGTCCTTGCTCGTAACCAGGGTCAATTTGCGGTGCCCACAAATCACGCCAGAATCACCGGAAGTGTTCGGAGCGACGCGATTTTACAGAGCCGTGGCGAGAACGCTGTACTCTTTTTCGCGAAAGGTCACATACGACATATATTTTAATACGTGTCGCATTTCTGAATAAATTTATATCAAGTGTAAGATAAACTAGCTTTCACGATTCTCAAAAATAATGATTTATGTAATAGATTCTTCTAATAGAATTTACTAATAGAATTAGTAATAGAGCATCTCTAAGATACTTACCGTGTCCTGAAATTTGCGAACGTTAATTATTTGGGTTTGCAATTTATCAAAAAGTACTTGTACAGTTTTTAATCAAAGCCGTATCTAAAAAAACGGTTATAAAAGTAATTAAATATGAACTGGGGTACAGTAATTTAAAGTTGCCTGCCATAAAGGAAGTGTCGCCTGCGCTTCGCAATTAGTTACGTTGCCTAATGAAAATTTAGCACCATTATGAAAATTAGCAATTATTTATTGTTTCTATTTCGAGGCGGAACGCGTTTTAATTACCAACACGTTGACGCAACAGCCCATCGCCGGTTTCGCGCTTTATAATTATATCGCAACGACACCGGCTAACTTTCCGACCAACTTTCCGAATAATATCGTAACAGTCTATCGAGCGGCAATTTAATTGATCATCTGCCTTCCCGTCGTCATTAATACAGTATTATCGCGTACGTAATATTTTAATGTGTCACTTTAATTACATGCATTTCGATTTCGTTGGCGGAACAGCCGACGAGCACGGTTGTCCGTGTATCTCGGCCGGTGCCGGCTACCATTCCCCTTCCGGAACTCTCTGCGATAAATCTCGATTAATCCAATCGAGGAGCCATCGCGCGGATGCTGGCGCGTGACCAATCCCGAAGAAGCGATTGGCAATCGCCGCTCGATTCGCCAGGATGGACCTGCCCGTTTAGTTAACGTAGTCGCTTCTTTGATTAGTTAACCCATTCCCGTCTTTGTTCGCAAAAGGGGATAGACAAGGCGACGGGGGATATACAGTTCCCTGGAGGGCTTCCTGCCGTAGACACCCCCTCTACCTTGCCTCCCTCACTCTTTACAGGATCTCCTCCTACACTCTATGGACCGAGATGAGAGCGGCCGCTCGGTCGGAAAATCGCTTTAAACCGCGCCGACTAATATTAACTTTCTCCTATCGTTTCGCGAAATTCCCGAACTCCTTTTTTTTTCTCTCTCCATCGCGCATCCCGGGATCGCAAAAGCCTCTCTTCCCTCCCCATGGGGGCGCGCGCCGGACAGCGCTCCGAAATTTCCTTATTTGCCGTTCGGACGGCCGGCTTTGTGTAAACTTCGTTTTATCCCGCAAACGGGCGAATGTTTTCCTTCCTCCGTCTTTCCACCCCCGGGGATCGATACGTCTGGAATTTCGTAACGAGCGGATAGATCGGCGATACGAGGCCCCGAGGTAGTCACGACACACCAAGGTCGCGTGCAATTAACCACCTCGCGCACACCACCGTGAGATCGATCAGGGCTTTCGATCCGTGAAACGTGAGCCGCGAGTGATGACTGTTTAAAGTTGGGTGATTTACAGCAGCGCAAAAGAGAGGGAGGAAAGAGTTGACGACTGGTGAATCAGGTCACCGGTTTCAATCGGCAAACTTTATGCAAACAATTTTAGGGGGCAGCAAACTGTCGCGTCCGCAGTGAAATGGTAATGCTTTCTGCACCCGTACGACCCAGTCGCATTCTGCAACGAGCATAATTCACGCGAGGCGACTAACCGCCCGTTAAAGCGCCCGTGCGGGCACATGTGAAAAAGCACAAGTGTCTTGCCCGAAACGCTATTTGCATTTGGGAACGTCACTTCCAACTACAATTCTTCAATTAGTAATCCGACAGCAATGTAATTTTGTAGCTTTGTGCGTATTCGACATGCGTACATGTCAGTTTTATATTTTTGTACTTGCGAATGCACGCATATCGTACACTTTAGGTATCACGTTGAACAAATGAAAAAAATTACGAATTCCGTCAAAATAAATAGATATAATAAAACAGAAAAATTGATGCGATCTGACGATCGAGTGAGCATCTAAATGAAGTTTCCATTTAACCAAATTTTTATCAAGCCCTGTGTTCCGCTTAAATTCAGCCCATCAACGGATAATGCTTTCCTTTCGTATTCCATTTAGCGAATAATTTCGAAATCAATAGCGAAAGCATCCGCATCCGCATCCGGCTTACGTTATTATAAGCTCGTACTTGTGTCGATTCGCTCTCGAAATGCAAGCTGGATATTTAGGTCTCCTATTGACTCGCCTAGAAGGTTGTATACGGCTGCACGCGCATCTATTGGAACAATAGAAATATGTAAAAATTAAGTCGAGCTTAACGCTCTCGCGGGGAAAATGGAAACGCCGGGATGGAAAATATTGACCCGCGTATTAGACTTTAATCAACCGCTCGGAGTGAAAATATTGGCCGACGGTGATCCACGCGAAGCATAAAATTAGAAGAGTACTTGCGGGCGCGAGGCTTTCCGCCGTATGAATCGACGAGCGGGAATTGGCGTGACGCGAAGGGGGGTACACGTCCCAAGGGTAGGACCTCAAACACGCATAATCCGGGCGAAATTACTGCGTGCCGACGAAAAGCTCCGCGCGTAAGTTTCGAGAGCGGACGAGCCTGTGCACGGTCAAATATGTACTCTGGGGTAACCAAACACACCAGTAGTCTTTTACGTGAGCAACGCGCTCACAGCTGTATGCGCTAAAATACCCGTGGCAACATATACCATACGCTGCGTGCAGCCCGCGCTTCGCAAAATGCAGCATTAATCCGGCCGTTCAGCTGGGGCGCGGCGCGCGAATCTTACTGCAAAAAATTTCGCCGGGAAGCACACGTTAAATATAAGCCACGCACAAAATTGCATCATGCGGGATACACCGGAGCCCGCGCGCATTTCGTTACGCGATTCAATTCGGACTCGGCTCAGTCGCAAAAATAAATAGTCGCGTAAACTAAAAAAAAAATAGATCCTTCTCGACGTTACTTTAACAGAAATTGTGTTTGACATTTGTGTATGTCGAAAGTATTGAAAATGGAAAGTTGAAAACTTGCCAGCGATGATGGATTTCCATGAAATTTTTGCTAAAGGCAAATCGGCTTTAAATTTGTCAGCCTGGAGCTGAAACGATATTCAATAACGATGGCATGGCCTGTATATAAAATAAATCATATTCATAGGGAAACATGCTACAAAATATTCGGCCCAATATTTTTCCATTCCCGATATGATAACTTCTAACTCACTTTGCGGCCATTCGTGGTCATATACATGTCGCCGCAATAAAATCATCCTCTGCTTCACTTTGCACAGATAAAGTGCTTAATATTTTAATCGCTCGTTTAACGAGTGCGATGCCCGTGAGAATATTTCGCGCTTTGCAACGTGTCCAATCAAAATAGTCGATTGGGTTCTGGGTCGCGAAATAGTCGACTGGATAAATCCGCTCGCAAAACGATTTTATTCGGCGATTTTATGAACAAATATTATTGCGCAAACATATGTAATCCTTGAATATTGGAAAATGAGAGCTTATAAGGTGTAACTTATCTAGTACAATTGCTAAACACTTCTCTTGTTTATAGTTATCTCGTAGTAATTTGCGTTCACGTGTCTTTCATCTTTACATTATTCGGATAAACAGATTACAAAAGTTACTGTCTTAAATATTAGCGATGATACTTCCAAGTATTATTTTCTTACCGTCCACGCGATTACGATAAATCATACGACTGCGAACTAATAAAGCGCACACAAAAGTCTTTGATTGATTAACGTATTAATAACGGCATGTTTTTCCTCCAGGCGAGTTTAACGTGTTGCGTACACACGTAGCATAAACTTTCTTTTCACATTACAGTATAATGAACAACAACAGTGTGGAGCAGCCGGATCCGGATAACATAAAGATGTTCGTGGGGCAGGTACCTCACGATATGGACGAGAATGACCTGAGGACGATGTTTGAGGAATACGGTCGAGTGCATCAGATAAATATCCTACGGGACAAAATCACCGGCAGCCATAGGGGTGAGTGATTGAGCTTTTTTAAATTTGCGATTGCACGCTTCAAATCGTCCGGTTGCAATAAAATTTTTAATGGGAGCGTGGTATAAAACGCATTTTTTAATTCTTTGCGATATTTAAAGTTATTTTTTTAAATAAACCTAACAGATAGGGATAGATTTATCTCTATTTTTTTTTTGTTATTTCGCTCGTGCTTTATTAGAGTCTTTAATTATGACAGAATGCGCATATAAATAAAATGTTATGAATTTTGAATTATGTATCAAAACGGTACGGTAATTGTTAAAAAGTTACAATAAGAATATTTCTACATATTTTCGTCATAATTTTTATCGTAATAGCAAATTTATTTAAGCGGTATATTATCGGGTTTTTAATGTTCTCTTTTATAAAGTTGAAATTACTACGCAATATTATTCTTCTGAATAATTTTAGTAAAGTATAATTGTTACTTTATATTTAATTATTTTTCGATACATTTTTCTTTGTTTTTTCTCATTTCACGTGAATAAATCACTTACAAAAAGGCGGGCTGTACATACCGTTTGTTTTCTTATCGACAATTCTTCTAAATCTGTTCAATATTCGTACAACAAAACGGAATCGAGCGTGAAAATCGATTTACGCGCTTATATGGGAACACACTATCACGGTCATCGACATTTCAAAGTTGACGGAATGGCATGTTGAAATGAATACGTGAATAGTTATGGAAAGAGAACAAGAGTCAGGGAAAATGGACGCGTTTACGATGGCAGAAAGAACGATAAAACGTGAGACATGATCGTAGATCAAGATTAATTCCGGATACGTTTGGCTCCTCATGCGAGAATCATTCGAGAATTGAATATATTTCGCTCTTTATGAAGGGTACAGATGGATTTCGTGCTCGATTATTATTTTCGTGCTTCTCGCAGCTAATTGCGATACGATAATTATGATAAAATAATGAGAAATATGTCATGAAGAAGATATATACATATATACGAGACGGATTACGTATACAATGCTAAAACTATTCGATTAACAAATATAGGAGGCGGATTACGCATGCAATGCTAATACTATTCGATTAACAAATAATTGGAATTCCGATTCATCTCATTTTTGAAAACTGTTCTTCAAGTTGAATTATGCCAATAAATTCATTGAATAGATTCATTCGCCGAAAATCATATTTTCCACCAAACTGATCCCTCAACATTTTCGATGTAATCAAATTTTCAATATAATTGGTGTTGTTGCGCTATACTATTATTGATGTAGTCTCGCAATGGAGCGTATCGGTATTTAGTATTATTCCAAATAATTTAGCTTTTTTCAAAATTCTATTTGCTAAACGGATAGTATTATTCAATAATCCTTAATATAATCTTTATCAACTGTCCTTACAAATTTTTTAAATTAAAAATATAACTTTAAAAAATAGATAAGTTATTAAATACAAAAGTAATGCCGGATGGCACTTAAAAATGTGAAACTAATAATTGTTTTAAGATTCGTAACATGTTGTGTAAAACTAAAACGGTATTGAAGAAACTGTCTTTAAACAAGATTTTCTTATAGAATTTAAAACAAAAATTACTTTTTATCGTTCCCATTCGCATTCAGATGAAGAAAGTAAAGAGAAATGCAACGATTGATGTGTAGTTAGGTCGCTGCTATGAGCCTTGCTCGGTATATCGATCGCGAGGCGAGAGAGCAACCCCACGAGACTCTCTTATGTCTCCCCACGTCCGAATACAGGCGCGCTTGTAACGCGGCTGTCACTGAAATATGCACGTGCTCACTAATAACGAGCCTTAACGCTCGCTAAACGTCGTCTGCACCGGTGAAAGTTTGCTCAATTACTTTCACTGTACAGATGACTTCAAATTTGCGGCCGATATGAAAGTCAGGCATTGTGTGGTAACCCGATTGTCCGATGTGTATGTTAGGAATATCGATTTCCATACGGCCGGAGTTCGTCGTGGATATTACCAAGCATAATTATGATCGAATTACCGTGGAGCATTCTATACATATAATGACGAGCAGAAAAAGAAGAAAAGTGTTCCGTCGCGTCATTAATTTTTGTACAATAAAGCAGCTAGAGAACTGTAGCTTTGTGACAAACACTCTCCGCTAGAAACTTAAAGTACAAATAATTTTTTATAAGTACGTAAAATTTTATTAATTACAATGGACAATTTAAAACAGTTACTTTCTTCAATTAAAAATTTTTCAATTATACTATTATTTTTCTATAACTATAATATTACTTTTGTATGACTTGTAGCGACAGTATTCTTGCAACTGATCTTTAAATGATATACGTGTAGTGTGTGTATGAGAAGAAAGAACTAGAAAAACAAAGAAGTTTCAAAATTTTATTGTACTTCTCATAAAACTATCTTATATTGTGAGTAAAACTATATTGGATTATAGACAGAAATTACTTTTCAAAAATTCAATATAATCAATATGGAAAATAATCAATTGCTATACGTATCTTATTTCGCGCTTCTTGGTAATTTAAATGAATTTTCTTGACGAAGCAGACTTCAGAAATCTTCTGCAGATAAGTAGATCTATATGTAAAATGTACGTGATGCACTATCCGAGTCGGAAGGCGCGAAATGTTAGGATTCTGAGAACTTCCGGAATAATTAATGTGGGCGAATTGTAAACGTCATGCGCACCTGCAAAATTGATGGCGGCAGGCAGTACAACTGGGATGAAATTCGTTCCCCATTGTGAAAATTTAACTTGATTACCATGACGTAATGGTGAATTAATGTCCCGCTCGCGGGCCGTTTGTTTAATGCACCGCATTTTAGATTCGAAATCTCTGTCAACGTGGAGTTTCAATTTTACAATAAAACGAGCTAATTACTGTTTCCCAATTAACTTTTAGTTGACAATGTCATATTAGGAAATTTCCTCGTCGCGTTCCTCTCGTCAAATTAATGTCGATTTTATAAATCTTCAAATGGACCACTTTTCATCAGTCTGATAATCACAAATGCCAATCGGTAGAATCTCTTTTGTAAGCATTCAATACACACATACACAATCAGAGTAAATAGTATGCTACTTAAGTAAAATGCATATCGGAATAATATACTCGAGAATAATACGCATAGGGTGATCTCGTCTGTCGCTGGCCAAACAGTGAGTCAGAAAGCAAATTCCACGGTGCATCGAGGCGTTTTATCTCGACGGTGGAAATAAAACGCTAAATTTCCAGAAATTCTATATTAATTAAGCCGCAGAGCCGAGCTTGGCACATAAGTTCTATTAAAAATTAACAAGGGGTACCTGTGGAATATATTTGATTTACGCCAGGATAAATATAAAGTTTAAATTATTCACGGAAATACTCGTAATGTCACATAATGAAAAAAATTGCTTCAGCCGTTCCATTGATAATTACAATATTTTAATCCGTTTTTCATTTATTTAATTTTAGACGCTTCCATAAAACCAGTCTTAATATAGCTCTATCATTTCAATAAAATGTTTTTAATTAAAGTTGAATATGAAAAGCATGATATGACTAAAGGCATTCTTGTCTAATTCTATTTTTAATTAATCAAATTGCTTTGGAATTTAACGTAAATGTCATGATAGGTAAATCAATTCTTTACTGGTGAACACTCAAAAAAGTCAGATATAATTTATAACATATAAAACTTTTAAGAAAAACTATGCATTAAGAATATTATAGTTCTTTTAAAATATTTGTTCCCGATTTACTTTTGTTAATTTTGCAAGTACTTTATTTAGCTATCTAGCAGATCAAAAAGTGTTTAACGACTAACAGATTTTTTTTATTTTCAAAAAATTTCTAAATACTTTGTCTAAAAGAATTTGCACTTATTGCTTGTAATTAACATATGATAATATAAATGTACATAAATAATAGTTGTATATATTTCTAAATTACGGTCCTATGATGATATTGATGATCGGGAACCTTCTATTGCAATATGCATATCAAGGTGAGCTAATCTCATCACAAAGTAACTTCAGCCGGACATTAACATAATTAATTCAGGTATTATCATACTAATTCGGGTATGTCCACTCACGGAATACGAGATTTGCGCGAAACGGATTAAATGGCGAAGTCATCTGCTTTGAAATCAATATCGCCAAAGTGAGCAATCCATGGAATGTTCAATTTGGTGAGTCAATAGGAGACAGCGAACTCGCGGCAAACTCCTTTTATGCCCGATTAAAACAAGTGCGGAACCGTGTTCGCAATGAAGACCTTCGAGATTGCCATCGTAGCCAATATATCGGAATCCCGAAAGTGTCCGACTGCGCCGCTTCTTGTCGCAAAGTAGCGGAATTCGATACTCCGCTACTTTGCGCGACACGATATGGGAACGACAAGGACGACAACAGGATTCTCTGCAAACAGGAGAGCCGGGGCTGCTGTCTCCCGTCGCACAATTTTCCGCGTGGAATTCCGTTGTTCCGCCCGGCGAAAAGACGTCGGGAAATGTTTTAGTTAAATTAACAGAGCTCTCGCGCGGCGATGTTTCCCTGTGTCGATTGCGAATTCCTCTTCGACAAGCATCCTGTTACTGTGTGGATATACAGTATAGTTGCGAGGTGCGCTTGTCTCTTGCATCTTCGCTCTAAAACCGTATCTCTCGCGCACCGAAATACTCTCTGCGCGCGAATCGCTCGGAGAATTTGTTTGTCTTAAACGGAAACGCGAATCGACCTTGCGCTGCTCGTTACGCCCAGAAGTACACCCTGCTATTAATCACATGGCCCTATTAATCGTCCTTAAGTCGCGCCATGCTCGCGTCACCTTGCTCTTTCACGCTGAAGAAAGCCGAACTTCGTCGACGTTACTATCTTTAAGGGTCGCTATAAAGATCGGCTCTACTATTTGTCAGTCATGTACAATGCCTGGAAATAGCTCGAGAAAATCGATGCCCTTCTTAAAGGCTATACCAAGTGTACTTCAGCGTCGTTCACTGTAATCAATTTCTCTTGTCCAAGTA